GGGGCTAAGGGGAAGTGGGATTGCTAAATGGGAGGTGACCTCAGAGGCACAGATGTTTTTCCCTTGATTTCCTGGTATCGGGCCCTCAGGGTGGTCAGGAGTTCTACCCGTAAAACTTGTTTATGGCTTGATCTGTGAAGCTTGACCGGCGCCTGCCCGTCCTGCAGCCTTTTGATAAGGCTGGTCCTGGTTTTTGTCAATTTTAAACATGTGGGCTCATGAGTACTCATGGCGCCTAGTCTTTTTCATTTCCACACTATCATCTCGGGACCCATAGTCCAAGCCAAAATGTTGGGGAGGTGCAGTTTCTGTGGAGAGCAGGGCTGTGGCCTTAAACTATTAAAGACGATAGTGACCTCTACTACTCATTAATAAATACAAACAATAAGGTCACAAAGTAGGTAAAGTGCTTGTCATGAGGACCGGAATTTGATCCCCAGCAACCAATCGAAATGCTAGGTGTGATGGTGAGTGCTTGTAATCCCAGAACTGGGGAGGGGGAGACAGGTGGGACCCTAGGGCTCCCTCACCAGCCAGCCTAGCTTACTCAGGGAGTTCCAGACCAGTGAGAGATGCTGTCTCAAAAACTAAGAGGACTCAAGGTTGTCCTCTGACACCACACACACATACAGTTATAAAATATTATCAAACTCTTACTTTGCCCATTATAATTATATTGGTACTTTTTTTGTATTTGCATTAATCAGATGTTTAGTACAGAACCATGTTTATTACTCCAGTTTCTCATCAGTATTTTGAAAGTTTATGAAGAAAAAAAAGGAAGCTGACTGTATGTTAATTTAATATATGGAAAATATGGTTGTTAAGAAAAAGTTAAAGGCTAGAATGTAACTCATTTGGTAGAGTGCTTGCCTAACATGCACAAGGTCCTGGTTTGGCCCCAGCACTACATAACCTGGATATGGTAGCTGTAATGCCAGCACTCTAGATGTGGAAGCAGGAAAATCAGAAGTTCAAAATCATCTCAGATATGTAGGGAGTTGCTTTTATGAGACATCCAATATTTTTTTACAAAGTTTTTTTTTTTTTTTTTTTTTTTCTTGCTCCTTCTGGTACTGAAAGCTTTCTGTGCTGAGTCATCTCCACTCATGAACTTCAAACCTCAAACTGCCAAGTTAGGCAAGGCAGAAGCGTTCTTTCCAGTTAATCAACACACGGAGATCCTTGTCTACAAAGGGACCCCCTTTGCGTGGGGAAGGTTCAAACGCCATGCTATTAGTATGGATCTGTCCTAAGATTTCGAAATGATCTCAGGACATGCCCAGACAGGCCATGGCAGGAAGGCGGACCGGCGGTCCCCCAAAGCAGCTGCAGACAGGGCAAATTCCACAGCCGTCACCAACCAACCAGAACTGATCCAAGCAGATCGCAGAGGCCAGCCCACTGCGAAGGCGGGGCTGGAAAGGGGTGGAGCCAGAGGGAGGGGAGGGCATCAGAAACCCGAGCGGGGAAGAGGAACAGGGAGAAGAGCGGCTAGACTGGGCAGGTGCAGGGGGATGGCCGGGAAAGCCGAGCAGGACGTGGGACTGGGTCCATCATATGTAAGCCTCTCCAGGCCAGGGGGAGGAGCAAGGGGCGTGCCCAATCTCGAGGGTGGGGCAGGGCGTGTCCAGGGCGGGGTCAGGGCGCAGTGGCGTGCTCAAATCAGCCAGCCAGACATGGGGGCGGGGTGGGGTCGTGGAGGCTGGGAGCGGTCAGAGGTGCTACACCGCCGCCCGCAGAGGCTGCAGGCCTAGGAAGTGCACGGCCAGTCCGAGCAGGCTGAGGAGCAGCAGCAGCAAGAGCAGCAGCCGCAGGAGCGTCCGAGCCATGGAGCCGCGGGGCTGCCGGGCCAGGGACTGCACGTATCGCTCCACCGCGTCGCCGAAGCTGAACTTGTCCGGCGCGTAACCCAGCTGAGTTCGGGCCTTGGTGATCTGGAAGGTGTGCGTCACCGCCACGCTGAGCACCTGCGGGAGAGGCGGGGCAGCCGGGGCCGAGCTGCAGGGAGGGGCGAGCATCCTTTGCCTTATTTAAAGAAAGGACACTGAGCGGCAGAGATTGCCCCTGGATCACACCGGGATTTAAAAGGACTGGCTGCTGTGTCTTATTCTTGCGATGCCTTTAAGAGGGGGGACTTACTCTCTCACCGCCCCTCTTTTCTGAGAGGGCACCGCCTTCAGGATTCCTTTTCTGCATCTAACCCTCCAGCCCTGCTGAATTCTCACTGTACCACTCCTCATCCCTAAAGAGCAAAGGTCCCACCTCTACGCTTCTATTCCCAGCCTAGCATGATGCTGAATCTCTGGGGGCCTTTAGATGCATTCTTGGATATCAGCTAGGAGAGACTGAATGCCTCCTGCCTGTAGCAGAATGTGGTTCTACGGTAAACAAAACCAAAAAACGCCTCCAAAAAAGGCTGTTGGCTTCCTGTCTCCAGCTCCAGACCAGTTGTAGAAGGTTGGGCCTCAGGAGCAGCCTTCACTCCCAACTGGTTAACTAAGCATCCCTGAGAGTAATTCAGTTTTACTCTCCAGTTCTGTTTTCCCTACTGCAACCTGGCCTGGGGCCCACCTATTTCAAGGGCAATAAATACCAGCTATGAGTTCTAGAAGTCACTCTGTGTTTGGTGTGGGCTATCTTCTGTCCTCCGGGATGGCATTATTAACTCATTGAAGATCAGAGTGGTTAAGTGCCTTTGCCAGGGTCACAGAGGAGGGTCACTCTAGGCCGTGTTCTTAGCCATGCTGGGGCCTGGAGATGCCCTCCCACTGGACTCAGTATTCTCTAGATGGACACTGGCTACATGATTCTCTCATGGCACCCGCAGGCCCCAAGCATCAGGCCCCTGATCCTGAGGATGCCACTGGGGGAGGGAGAGCGATCAGTTCTTGTCTCCTTTTGCCCCAGATGGTGAGTTCAGGGCTTTGAGGAATGCTTAAAGTGACTCCAGCTGGGTTAGTCAATATTCCAAAAAACACTTGAGTGCCTGTTGCATGGAGACATAGTTGTGAGCTAGGCAAGCAGGTCCTGGCATGCGCTCTCAGAGGTTAACTTCCTCAGGGCTGGGTTAGGTACCCCTCCTGCATGCTGGGAAGTTCCTCGTAATATCCCTCCATGTAGCTCTTATCATCATGGTTACCTGTGCACGGTGAGCTTCCAGGGCTAAAGACCAAGTCTTCTTATGTCCAGTACTTAGCTTAGTGCCTGGCACACAGTAGGTGTTCAATGAACAATGATTGAAAGGCTCTAAAAAGCTAGATGGCTTAGGCTGAGTGTGATGGTGTAAGCTTTTAATATTGGGAGGCAGAGACAGGCAGATGTCTGTGAACTCCATACCAGCCTAGTCTACATAGCCAGTTCTAGGCCAACCAAGGCTACATAAGGAGACCCTGTCTCAAGAAACAAAACAAAACAAAAAACAAAACCTAGAGGGCTGATTGGTGTGTAGGCTGACCAGTAGAGGGTGCTTGAGCCACAGCACCTAAACTTCCCCAGTTCTTTACCCTGGAGCCAACAAATAAACCCACAGTTTAGACAAGAGAGAGGGTTGTTCTCACCTGATTGCACTTCCACAGCACCCTGGCAGCTATTTTGCCCTGATGTGATTTGGATGCATTTCAAAAACTAGTGATGATTTAGGTCTGGGTTCGAATCCCAGGAGTACCTCTTGAGTGATCCTGAACAGGTAACTTCAATGTGCATCTTATTTCTACCTCTGAAATAGATGTGGCAACAGAACCTACAATTTCCAGCATCAGTGATGATTGAATGATACTAAAGGACTGTCATTCTCCATCAGTCTAGATGGCTCAAAGGAGAACTCAGGTAGCAGCTTCTCTCTAGTACATTCTCCACAACCCCCACTTCCTCCCCTGGTTAGGGAGCACTATACTTGGCATCTGAAGCCAATTCTAATATGTGACCTTGGATAATGCTCAGTTTCTCATCATAAGTGGAGGTCATAATCTTTTTGCCCTTCAGAAAGAATCAAATGAGAGACCCCAAACACCACCTGTTGCCTTACTGTTTGTAGCCTGCCATGAAGATGTCCTCTCTCTTAAACTGTATGTGCTAAGCAAATATAAAACTGTTGCATCATAACCTTGAGAATGGTATTCTGTACACAGAAGGTACTTTATATGTACTTCTTACTAGTTAAGCATGAACTATGAGCCGAAAACCACTGGACTTTGTATGTGTGTACTTGTGTATATTCAGAGCTGGTGGGGTCCAAAAGATAAATAAAGACTGCCTGCATGAAGCCTGGCATAGGGAGCCTCAGATCTGGAAGATAAGCCACATATAGATGAAACACCAGTGATGAGGGATGAGCTTAAAGCTGTCATTTTTAACTTCATAGCACAGTCTCAGCAAAAGCCCAATTGGCTGGATTATACAGGAACAGGCAGCAGCTTTGGGCCCACATAGAAGGTTCTGAGGCCCCAGAAGGAGTACCCAGTAATGGGGCAAAGGTGTGAGACAGTAGTAGGGATGTGGAGAAGGGAAGGAAGGGGGTGCAGAGCTGGGGCTCCCCCTCTCAGCAGCTACTTACCTCACTTCTAGTGAGCAGTGGAGGGATGCTACAGATGGGCCTCAGGGTCAGATGCAGGAACTCCATCACTGCAGCTGTGGGAGAGGGCATGTGAGAGGGCTGGCTCTGTGCAAACACCAAGGGCCCTCAGGACAAATCCACTAGGGGCATTGTTTGCTTTGCTAGGGGCTCCCTTGGCAAAATATACCTGATTCCTTTAGGTGATCAGTACTCTCTAAGGCACCTTGTTAACTGGGAAATATGTCACAAGTTGGTATACAGTAATTTTAAAGGTCTGAAGATTTCCAATGAATCTGAGAAGACTCAAAGATATCTCTAGTCTCTTTCTCAACCTCTTTTAAATTTCATTTTGTGTATGTGTGCATGCACAAGTGCCCTGGTGCATGTGTAGAAGTCAGACAGCAACGTGAGGGAGTTGGTTCTTTCCTTCTACCATGTTGTTCCTGGGGACTGAGCTCAAATGGACAGGAGCGGCACCAAGCACTTTCACCCGCTGAGCCACCTTGCTGCCTTCAGTCTTTCTTTTTTGAGGCAGTACCTTGCTGTGTAGACCAGATTGGCTTGGAATGCTCTATGTAGTCCAGGCTGGCCTTGAACTCATGATCCTTCTGTACTGGAGTTACAGGTGTGTGCTGTAACATTCTATTTTGCTGTACTGATTCGGGTAGGAGAGGGAGGAATGGAGAAGAGCCTCCCAGCCTGGACTGCACACTGGGCCACTTTCAGAAACACTGCAGCTTCTCTGCCTCACCTATGCTCACATCATTAGTCTGGGGTGTAGCTGGGGCCTTGGTTACTATTTTCAAATATCCAGGTGATTCTAATGTCTAGCCAGAGTGGCAAAGCACCAAGCTGCAGCCAGCCTACCGAGAACTGTGCATTTGTATGCAATCTTCCCAAACTGCCATCAAGTGTGGCTGCAGGTGAGGCATGCCAATCATTGTAACAATGCTGTTCATAACGGGTTGACCACTTGGGTAACAAGTTTGGATTTCAATAGCAAACATCCCAATGCATCTAAAACACAGCAGGTCCAGCCTTGGATGTGCTGGGAACACAGCCTTTTGTAACTCGAGGGTCACCTGTCCCCTTGGGCTGGTCACCCCAAGTCTGATATCTGCTTGCATTCCTAATGGACAAAGGCCAGCAGAGGGAAGCAGGCGGACACACCATCTTGGTTGGATGGGACTGGAGAATGGGAGCAGATACTGACCTGCAGGGAGAGGAGAGGGGATCAAAAGTGTCCTATGACCCAGTGGAGCCCTGACCTTGGGAGAGGAGAAGCCTCAGAGCATCTTCTGCCCCAGTCTGGCATCATGCCTTCCAGTATGGACCCAGGTGCCCAAGCTGCCTCTCTCCTCACTGTGGCACCTCAGGCAGGTCACCAATGTTTCAGAGCCCCAGCCTCTTTTGGTACAATAAGTTCAGTCACACTGGCCTTGCAAAGGGCTCAGTTTAAGTAGGGCCAGGTCATCATAATGAACAGATCAAGGCACCTATAGTGATAATTTTGTTGTTGCTGTTTCAGTGCCTGGGATGGAATCTAAGGATTTATGTATTCAAGGCAGGCATCCCAACACCAACCAACAGTGACAAATTTAGAGAGAATCATTCCTCTGAGTGCAGGATTGGCTGGGTGCACTGCAAATCCTATTTAATTACAGTCCCCCCCTCCGCCCACTTCCAGGTGCCTTCCTGATCTCATCCTTATATCATTTGGGTTTCAAATGATATAAAAGCATGTATGCTGCATGTATGCTGAGTGAATACCTGCCACACAGAGGGCTTTAATTCATGCCTTTCCTTACCTGTCAGATAAACACTGAAAGTTGGCACCTGGATCCAGGGTTGGCTGTACCCCAGCTTCTCAAACTGCAAAGGAACATGGTCTGAGATGAGAACAGATGTTCAGGGACTGGCTGGTGTACAAAGACCACCTGCTCCCAGTATCCCAACTGGCAGAGGACCTCCACCAGGCCACTTGTAGCCTGCTCTGGTTTTGAAATGAAATCCACTCCTTGATCTGGATGGCTCAAGCAGTAGTTAGATACAGTGCACCCATGTCATCCAATGTCCGCAGAGGTGAGAAGAGGGCAGAAAATTCCCCTGGAACTGGAGTTATGGATGGTTGTTGGCCTCCATGTGGGTGCTGAAAACTGAACCCAGGTCCTCTGCAAGAGCAGCCAGTGCTCTTAACTTCTGAGTCATCTCTCCAGCCCCCTGATTTTTTCCTGGAGTTGACTTTTTCTGCTTTAAAGAAAAATAGAAGCCAGCCATGGTGGCACATGCCTTTAATCCCAGCACTCGGGAAACAGAAGCAAGGGGTTCTCTGTGAGTTCAAGGCCAGCCTGGTCTACATAGTGAGTTCCAGCCCAGCTTGGGCTACAGGGAGACCCTGTCTCAAAAAGACCAATAAAATAAAATAAAGAAAAACAGATAAAAACCAACAAGTTTGTGGAAGGTGAGAAGAGATACAGGAGGATTGGCTGACAAGGGATGAATGGAGCTGTCCACTTGCATAAAAACTCTTCAGGTCAAAGCCAGACTAATAAGGGCTAGAAGGCTGGGGTGAAACTGGAGCCCTTTCCCAGGGCTGGGGAGACGCAGACTCCTGTAGCTCCCGGAAAAAAATGGTCTGTCCATTCCTCCATGGAAATTTAAACCTGGAGTTACCGTATAACTAGCAACTCCACTCCTGACAAGTGGCATGAAAACACATGTCCACATGAAAATATGTGCATGAATGTTCCTTGTGGTATTGTAGAGAACCCCAAATTTCCACCAACTGAATGGTAGACTAACAAGGGCTAGAATTCTAGGCTGGGGTGAAACTGGAGCCCTTTCCCAGGGCTGGGGAGATGCATACTCCTATAGCTCCCAGAAAAAAATGGTCTGTCCATTCCTCCATGGAAAGTTAAACCTGGAGTTACCATATAACTAGCAACTCCACTCCTGACAAGTGACATGAAAACACACGTCCACATGAAAATATGTGCACGAATGTTCCTTGTGGTATTGTAGAGAACCCCAAATTTCCACCAACTGAATGGATAAGACAATGTGTTATATATCTATAAAGTGAATTTCTAGCAATAAAAAGAAATGAAGGGGCTGGGAGGATAGTTCAGTCAGTAAAGTGCATATCTTACAAGCACAAAGACCCGAGTCAATCCCCAGAATCCACATTTTAAAAAAACCTTCGACCCAAAAAACAGGTGTGGTGGAGAGTGCTTGTAATCTTAGGAGTGGGGAGGCAGAGACAGGCAGATCCTGGAGCTCACTGGCCAGACGGCCTAGCCTACTGGGTGAGCTTCAGGATGGTGAGAAACCCTGTCTCAAAAGAAAGGTGGGCAGCTGAGGTTGTGCTCTGGCCTCCACATGCATGTGTACTCACATACATGTACACTCATACATGCATGCACGCACGCACGCACACTAAAGCCCATTTCTATGAAAGTCTACGGAGAGGAAGATTTGTGGTTGCCTGTGGTCACCTGAGGGTAGAGGTGGGGTGAGCAGAGAGAACAAGGCAGAGGCTGCTGACAGACACAGGTTTGTTTTGTTTTTCTGAAGATGAAAACCTGTTTTAAAGTAAGTTATGATGATGGCCGTACAACTCTGAATATGATTTAAGAAATACTTTATTATTTTTATCTTATGTGTATGAGTGTATTGCCTGCATGTATGTGAGTCCACCCGTGTCGTGTAATGCCCTGGCAGTCAGGAGAGGGCTTCGGATTTCCCTGGAACTGGAGTTAAGGATAGTTCATAGCTGCCATGTGGGTACTGGGAAAAATGCCCTGGCGGTCAGGAGAGGGCTTCGGATTCCCCTGGAACTGGAGTTAAGGATAGTTCATAGCTGCCATGTGGGTACTGGGAAGCGAACCCGGGTCCTCTGCAAGAGCAGTCAGTGCTCTTAACCCCTGAGCCATTTCTCCAGCCCTCTGAATATGATTTTTTAAAAACCCATCACATTGAGTTGTATTTTTATATAAAGTGAATTTTGTAGCCTGTAACTTATATTTCAATAGAAGTGCTATTTAAACAGAACAGACGGGAGTGGCCATGGCACTGAGGTTCCAGGGTTCTGTGCTCCCCTTCCAAACATGCCTGGCCTGTAGGAGACGTGGGCTGCTGAGAGAAGACAGGGTTCTCAAAATCTGAGCTCTTCTCTCTGGGCTCTGCTGACCTTCTACATACATGCTTCACGGTCTCCACACACAGGCTGGTGGACCACAAACCCCACTGCTCAGTGGTAGAACATTTGCTTAGCATGGACAAGGCCCCAGCATCCATCCCAGCATCGCAAACAAACAAAACAAAAACCCCACAAGACCAGAATCAGTGTAAATCAGGAAGCAGGTTGAAAGGGATTATGATAAATTCAAGGAGCATGTGGCTTCCCTAAAGGGTGGTCACAACCAGCTCCAGCTAGTTCCAGTGCCACCCTGGGCATGCTATTGCCAGGGCTGTTTTCTAATGTGAGATCTTCTGGGGGTTTTGGAGGTAGGAAAAGATGCAAAGAAGGGAGAATGGGATTTCAGTCTCACTAGGGCTTAGAGGACCAGGACACCTACCAGTGGTGCCATCCACTCGAAGAGGTTAACGCTCTCCCCGTCATTGATGTAGTACGCTTGCCCACTCTGAGGGGGACAGGAGGGAAGGGGTGCAGTCAGAGGTCTGCCCACCGGATCCCACCCTCTTGGATGGCTCCTGGCAGCTGTTTCAGCCCTCTCTGTCTTGAGCAGTTCCTGGGACTGGGGACAAACCTATGAAGGGCTGTACTGGCCTGGCAGAAACGAGATCAACACTTATGTCTCTCGGTCTATTAGACTATTGAAACAAGGGACCCCAAAGAAATGTGAATTTCCCCATGAATCTTTTGTTGGGAGAACGAAAAAGCCTCAGTCAGAGTGGGAGCTTGTCTGCCTTTAACAGAGCCCTTGTCAGACCACCTTGCAAGACAAGATGAAGCCCAAACAATGATGGGTCAGTGGTGGGGGGATCATACCTTGACTGCTTAGATGTGTATAGCCCTGGCCTCTATTTAAACTTGAATTTCGTTTCAGAACCCCAAAAATGGCCTGAGGATGTCACTGGATCTCTCTCTCTCTCTCTCTCTCTCTCTCTCTCTCTCTCTCTCTGTCTTTTTGATTAAAGGCATGTGCTACCATGCCCAGCTTGTAAGAATCATATTTAAAAAATTTATTCAATGTGGCCACATTGGAAAGAGACAAAGAGATCCAGTGATGGGTGTGGTGGTGCATGCCTGTAGTCCCAGCACTTGGGAGGCAGAACTCACAGGCGGATCTCTGTGAGTTCAAAGCCAGCCTGGTCTACATAGTGAGTTCCAGGACAGCTGTGGCTACAGGGAGTCCCTGTCTCAAAAAGACCCCCCCCAATTTTTTTTTTTTTACTGTTAAGTTGGCTGTTTTAACATTAGAGAACTTGTTTTATGTGTATGAGTGTTTTGTGTGCAAGTCTGAAGTGCACCACATGCAGTCAGTGCCTGCAGAGATCAGAAAAGGGTATCGGATCCTCCGGAACTGGAGCTACAGACAGTTCTTAGCTGCCATGTGGGTACTGGGGACTGGTTTGGAGTCCTCTGGAAGAGCAGCCAGTGCTCTTAGCCACTGAGCCATCTCTCCAGTCCCTGAATTTGATTGTTTTAATTGGCTTCTTGAAGACAAATGACCAAACTTGGCTTTTTGGGGTACAGACTGTGACCCAAAATTTGGTAACAGGGCTACCACACTGACAGCTGTGTGACTCCAGTGGACTCACTCAACTTCACTGTACCTCAGTTTCTTTATCTGAGAAATGGGAAGAATGAACTATCTCTCTCATTATGAAGATTACAAGTGAGATGAATATGAAATGCTTAGCTTTACATGGCTGTGATTTTGCAGTGAACATTAGCTCCCAGGGACACTGTGAAGAGGTCATAATGCTGTTTGAGCACCCCACATCCACCCCAGCATCCCTGCCTGCAGCCTGCCAGGATGTCACAAGACACTCACAGCCACATAGCCTTTGGCCATGGTGAGGGCCTCAGCTGCCAGCACGTGTGCCTGCACCAGATTCTGTACATGGACCCAGTTCATGCGTGTCTGGTGGTCCCCAAACCGGAACATGAACAGCCTCCTCTTGATGTAGCTCTGGTGAAGAGAAGGGCAATGAAGGCAGGCTCAGCTGGGTAGCTTCACACTCCAGCTACTTGATAATAGCGAAGGCAGGCTCAGCTCCAGGCTAGACCCCCCAACTCCTGTGTCCCAAGCCCTCCCAATGCCCCACAGATGGCTTTGGACCACCTCTGACCTCCGTACCTACTCTCATACCCACGTTCAAATCACCACAAACCTTCCAGCCCCTTCACTCCCCCACTGCCACCCTCATCTCTCACCTTGGGCCCTGCAGCAGCTTCCTAGCTGTCCTTGGTCCATCTACTCTGCACAGCCAGGCCATATCTGGCCCTATTCTGATGTCTGCAGAGGCACCTGGCTGCCATGTTGAACACTAAAATGCTGACAATGGCCGAAAGCCCTCCTAGGCCTGGCCCTGTGACCCCACCTCCTACTGACCCCCCTTGCTTGTTTCAGTAGCCATGTCCACAGGACTGTCTCCTTAGTCCTGGACAATCTCAGAGCTTTGGAAGAGTTGTCCTCTGCCTGGAAGGTTCTTCCTCCAAAAGCCTGCTTCATACACTTGGCTACTTCCTCCAAGGACTTCTGGGGGAGCCCAATTCCCTCACTGCACCCACATTTTACTCCACTGTGCCTGATATTTTCCAACATACCTTGTAATTCAGCTCACTGTTTATTTTACTCTACCTCCTAGTACAAGATCAGAAGCCTCACAAGGGCAGGAATTGTCTGCTTTGTTCGTGATCTGTCCCCAAACTACAACAGTACCGAGCACGCACTAAGTTTAGTATTTGTTGAATGAATCAGTGAATGAATGGGGGAAGTCACTGCAGTTGATCCCACATCTGTGAGAACTTAGCAGAACAGAACAGCACTGCTCTGATAACCTTCAGTGGCTCCCCATGACCTGTACTTCCAAGATCAGTTCCAACCACTATGTTTGTGCCCAAACTGCCTCCTCTACTCCACCCACCATCTCCCTAACCATGTCACTTCCTCAGAGAATCCCCTTTCTTCCTTCCAAACACATAGGCATCACTTTCTCCAGGAAGCCCTCCTGGGCCTCCCCTGCCAGGCCCATTTTTTTTTTTTTTTTTTTTTTTTTTTGGGTGTGGGTGGGGGGGGTGGGGGGGGTGTGTTT